TCATTTACTGACTTAGCAAGTAACATAGCTTCTCGTTTATTCGTTTTTTTTTTTTTTTTTTTTTTTTTGGCCTATAAACAGGCCAAATAATAGTATGCACCTCTTTGGGTTATAGAGAATTAAATGAAATGTATTCATAAAGTGGCAATGGTGCTTAGCACATGGTATGTTCTATATAATTATTAACTGGATAAAAATGAACTTGCTTTGGAAAAAACACACATTATGGGTATTTTTTATGGGTTGTTGATATTTTTAGACTGTTGCATTTTTAACAATTCTGTGTGTGTGTCAGGGGGAGGTTGGTCCTGAGTTCCACTGATGTGCACAGCATGGTCGTCCTTCCTGTCCTCTCCAGGGCAGTGAGTTGACAGTACTGATTGGCAATGTAGCAAGTGTGTTTGCCTCCCAGGGATGATGGGAGGCAGGAATAAAACCTGAACATTAGAAAATTATACTACCAGGACTAGCAGATGGCATAATGGCTATGTTGCCGGACTCCCATGTAGCCGACCACGGTTTGAGTCCTGGACCTGGGCACGCTGGGCACATATGCGTGCATGCCCAAGATCCCGGGAGGAGAATGGAAGAGAAGGGATTGCGATGGTGCCATCCCCCCTGGGGGGTGATTTCTCACTTTCTTTCTCTCTGTCTTTGTCTTTCTGGCAAGCGCATGCACCCTATAGCAAAAAACCTCTCCCCACCCACAGAAAAAAAAATTATACTATCTTAGCAATTAATTTTTTTTTGGTTAAGCCTTTTAGGAAAATTAGAAGGGAAGGTCTGACTAGAAGGTTGGGACTTTCAGCCCACCCCCGCCTCCCAACCTGTGGCGATGCAAAGCCATCACTGATGGCTGACGATGTGATCAGTCATGCCTGTGTAATGAAGCCTGGGCCAACACTTGAAGGTCTGGCTTCAAGGAGCTTTTGGGTAGCTGAAGACATGGAGGTTCTTCAAGGGTAGTGTGCTCTGAGAAGGGACGGAAGCCTATGTCACTTCCCACACGCCTTGCCCTGTGCATCTGTTCATCTGGCTGTTCATGTGTATCCTTTAAATACGCTTATAATAATTGGGTAAAGATAAAAAAGAGAAGAAAAGAAAATTAGGTGGAAAGCAAAGTTGGAAGAATTTTATTTACAGGGATGAAGACATGACTGTTCCATCTCATTTTTGTCCGTCCTTAACACGTTTTTTTGAATAACACTGTGCTTAGAGAGGACGTGGCCATTACTTGCTCTTCATAGTACGATGAAGAAGTAGACCAGAATAGTAGTGATAGCCCTTCTGTAGCTAGTTATAGTAGAATCAGGACTAGAATACTGTCATTTGATTCTCACCTCTCTGAATTTTTGAGAAGATTAAGAGTCTTCCCTCCTCGGTGAAGCAACTGTCGAATCATTGATGTACTATACGTGATTTACCTGTCAGTGTTGTGGACTTGAGCTATTTCATGTGTAGAGACAGTGACAAAGTTGTGTCTAATGCATAGTGGTGTTTTCTCAAAAAATTTAGACTCCCCAAATTATTAATGTGCCTTGAATATCAAATGTACTCTATTGTTACATTCTATGTAGTGAATACTTAGAGGATATTGAAGATCAATGTCTCAATAAAAAGAACATATTATTCAGTATGGCTGTATTTTGTCTTCAGAATGCCTTGTCATATTTTTTTTTTTGAGAGAGAGATTTTTGCTGTAGGGCGCGTGCACTCGCCAGACAGACAGAGACATTAGAGACAGAAAGCGAGAAATCACCCCCCCCCGGGGGGGATGGTCACACCGCAATCCCTTCTCCATTCTCCTCTCGGGATCTTGGGCACGCACGCACACACGCCTGGCGTGAGTTTTAAGCCACCGGGTCCGGGACGTGAACTGCGGTCGACTACGTGGGAGTCCAGCGACATAGCCATTACGCTAACTGCTGGTTCCCTGCCTTGTCATATTAACACGACTTGAAAATATTGATGTGTAAATAGGCCCCAAAACACAGAACTCTAGTTTTCTGCATTTTTTTTTATCTGTTAGAGAAACAGATTATTTCCTTCACAGAAGTTAATAGGGGGTAAAACTGTTTTTGCTATATAGATCACTTAGACACCTTCTCTCTGCCTCTTTGTCCCCTCAGCTCTCACCTCTTGGTTTCCAGGAGAGTTGAAGCTTTTAGAGCTTTGAAGAAGGCATGAGTCTGAGGCATGCTTTACAGGTGGGGCATGTCCATCTCTCTCCCCTTCCCAGCGTGTGTTGTAGCTGCTGCCTTCTGGAAAATGAGCTCAGGAGACAATCAAGGTTCTCCATTCTCTCCAGACAAAGGGGCCCTCCTGCCAACTTGAAGAGCTTGAGGCTGAGGTGAGAACAGGGACCAAGGAAGATTTATTTATTTATTACATGAGTGATAGAAATGGGCATCCCCAGCAGGGTCTTCATGCAGTAACCCAGCATCAGTCTCAGTCTGGATTATGCACATTCATGACCTCCTGGGCAAGAGGTCCTGGGACATGAACCCAGGACCTGCCCTAGGGGTCTAGCTGCTTTACCACTTTGTCACCACCTGGCCCAAGGGTATCTTGGTTTGAGGAAATTTTATCATCTGAATGACAGATGAGACTCCATTTGTAAGATTGCAGATGACCCTGAATGGCCAGGTGTGTTGATAATGGTGTGAGAGATACATTGCATGGCTCCCTCTCCCTTGACATAACCTTGAATTGTAATTATGTGTATTAAAGAGCCCCAGGCCAGCAGGTGGTGTGGTGGTTGGGGTGCTGGACTCTCACATGTCTAACTGCGGTTCAAGTCCTGGGCCTGGCAGCTTGCTATCTTATTCTCTGTGTCTCTCTGTGTCTCTTTGATGAGTTCCTGTATCAAATTTTAAAAAAATGATGATAAATCAAATTAAATAAATAATTGTTTTTTTATAAAAAGTCCCAATACGTTTCCTGATTTAATTTTTTTTTTTTTTTGGAGAGGTTTTTGACATTGGGTGCATGCACTTGCCAGAAAGATAGAGACAGACAGACAGAAAGCAAGAAATCACTCCCCAGGGGGGATGGCCACTCCGCAATCCCTTGTCCTCCATTCTCCTCTCGAGATCTTGGGCATGCACGCACATGCGCCCAGTGCGAGTTTAAGCCACCAGGTCCAAGACTCAAACCATGGCCGACTATATGGGAGTCCAGTGACATAGCCATTACTCTAACTGCTGGTCCCCAGATTTAATTTTTTGAACTTCTAGTTTTCTATCCTTATCCACTTTTTTCCTCAAGTACTAGAATCTAGGATTAAAAAAAATTAAAACTTTGATTTAATATTTTCATGTTGTGCTGACTAGGTATTATATTCAGAACTTAAAAATATTTTTATTGATCATGTGTAGTTTTATTGTGTTATGTGTACATTTATGTATATGTACATGCATATGTATTTTATCTATGTTATGTTTCATGTAGAGTTTTATTGCAGTGCCCAAAAACCTGTAATACTTTCCTTGGAAATGTGTTCATCCTGCATATGAACATTTGAAACTCATCTGTCAAAAAATTGAAACTACCTTTTATATTAATGTAATTTGCATAACAATGATGAAAATACAGTTTTAAGGTTATCTGTAGTTTATTCATAATGTGATCTTTTCCATTTTTTAAATAGTAATTTTATTTAACTTTATTTTTTAAATTTGACCAAAGAGGGACAGAGCAAGAGAGAGAAAATGAGGAAGCAAGCTTTCAGGTCCAGGACTCGAACTGCATTTGACCATGTGGAAGTCTAGCGCTCTTAACCACCACAGGTTTACTGGTAACTTGACAGGATTGGATCCTAATCAGCAGTATTCAGCAGGTCAAGTAATGGTGCTGTAGTCACATCTTCAGGAGGACCTGCTAGGCCCCGTGGTATACACTGAAAGGGCTTACGCTTCTCCACTCTCCCTGTTTCCAGTTCTGGTTCATTTTTCTTGACTGTGAGAGAGGTCTATTGTGATATATGACAGGTAAGGCAAGAGAAATGTAGGTAGGGACCAGATTTTGGAATAGTTTAATATCCTGAATGAAGAAATTTGAATGTTCTTTTCTATAAATATGAGTGAATTCTTGTTACTCTGTGGGCAAGTGGTGGATTTATTCTGATCCCAAGTGTGTGGTTGTGCTGCGGTGCCCCCCATACTCTTGGGAGGCTGACTAGTGGTTCTCAAAGGGTTATATTAGGGTGTCACCTGCTTTTCTCAACATACACTTGTTCTTTGTACTTTCACTAGTCCATATAGCTGTCTTTGCTTGAGTAGAATGGAGGTATTTTGAAAAAGTGTCCCAGGTCATTTGGTTTTTTTATCCCTCCCCTTTTAAACTTACTATTATTTACTGGACAACTTCTTCCTTTTTTTTTTTTTTTTTGTAATTGACGGATAGAACAGCAAGCGAAACTTTATATTTTAAAAGTTTCCAATAATCCCTTCTTGCCTGCCCCACCCCTATAATAGTTAAACCGAAAATATTTATGTCTTGATTACACCATCAAGAAGAACTGCATATGCAGTTTTCATATGTTACCCGACCGAGGCTTCCTTTGGGAAAACTAGGTGCTAGTCTTCCTAATGCTGTTCTTAGGTCCTACCTCTTACTCAGCAAATGAAGGAGCTTTCATTTACAGTGACCTGACCTGCGTGACAAAGGCATGGGATTGAAAGACAGGCTTTAACAAATGTTTTTAATGGGAAACTAGACTGTCATTCACTTGTCAGAGACTGTGGTAAAAGAATAAGTAATAAAGGAGAAGAGTGTATATGTGTTTAGTTTGTGGTTAAAGCTATTTGAAGTGAGCATGTAACTTTAATTAGGCAGCCATTTTGTATAAATGCATTCACAGAGCAGGGATTTGTGGTTTCAGTACACCTTAGCAGCCATGGTGTTTATAACTTAAATCATAGGCTTGTATTACAGATTACGGGAGAGATTGGGAGGTAACCTGATACAATTGGTATATTGTGTATTTTTCTCTTTATTAGTGTGCCGGTCCAACAAAAGCCCCTGGGTCTGTTTGACTTGTTCAAGTGTCCACTGTGGAAGGTAGGTGGCATACTTACTACTTCACCACCCTATTTGTTTTTAAACATTTGCCTTTGAGCTTTATGTCAAAGTTTTACTGATTAGATTGATTTATTTCCATTGTTAACTATAGTGTGTACTTCTGGAGGGTTTCCCTTTCCAGTTGAATCCCTTTGTTCTGTGAGACAGCTGGGAAAATCTATGGGGGGAAAACCCAGCATATTGATGTACAGAATTAATTTGATGATCAAGATAATCTGCTAGTAATACTGGATTGGAAAGATGAAATAAGGGAACTTCAAATCTTGAAATGAAAGTTTACCCAATGCTTGTTTCTTAACCCACTTATTAGGGTAAAATTTAAGCACACAGAGAAGTATGTCATTGATAGTATAATCGAATCCCATGTTCTCATCACCCACTTCAGCAATGATCACCACATAGCCAGTCTTGTTTCAGCCGTTTCCTACCCCACCCTGTCTTTACAGACTTCTGAACCAAATTCCAATGTCATCATTCTTCCATGAAAAAAAAAAAAAAGAAAAAACTAAACTAAAACATTTACAGATAAAGAACTCACTGCGAAATTATTCTTAATTTCTAAAATGTACCAGTGTGTGTTCCATTGCAACATTTTGCCTTCTGTGGACTAACATCTCCTACCTCTGCACTGCAGTTCAAGTCAAGTTTCCTCCCAGTTCTTGGCTTCAAAATAATATTAAATATTTCATTAACTCTTTTCTTCTAACTCAAATGCAAATATACATCAGTCTCTGTTTTTTTAGCTTGATAGTAACCTATTTATTGCTATTGCTCTTTTAGCTTAGAAAGTCTACTTCGAATTTACTTTAGAAGTTACTAGCTTAGCAGCAAGGAGGTGGGAAATCAAATGAAGTCACACGGGCAGAACTCTGTATGGTATTTGTCTGGACTATTTCCTATTGTTACTTTTAAGTCCTCACTGCATGACGAGAGCCTCTATGTTCAGTTAGTTTTGATTTTTCACATTTTGAGTCCTGGAATTGAGTATTATTTTTTCCATGTACACTTAAGGGTACCTTTGGAAAATGTTAACTGCGTATCTTAATTGTGGCTGTTGTGGTTTTGAAATCTCTAGGATTTGGGGAACCTGAAAAAACTTTGTACAGATATCTTTTTTTTTTTTAAAAAAAAGAAGAAAAGTAGAAGCACTTAAATTCTGCACTTGAAGAGACAGATTCCTCTCCTAGATTTTGAGAGGTGAGAATTGTAATGCAATAAAATTTATGTAATTCTGTTCTGCAGTTGTCTCATAGTGCTCTACAACCTAAATCTTGAAGATCATATGCCAACAAAAGACCTGACAAACTCAAAAATCAAGAGAGATTAATATTCTAATAGCGATTAACAAACAATTCTCTAAGTAGATTTTGGGAAAATAAATTGAAAAATTTCTAGAGTCTTCAGGGAGAATGTTCCAATTCTAAGCAAGCCTAAATTTAGAAATTTGACATAATTTTGGAGAAATATGATTAGATCTAAATAGCTAATTGAGGATAGCCTGAATATAGATCTCCATATCTCCATTTTACTTAGTTGATAGGCTAATTTTATTTTTTGAATTTTTTATTTCTTGGGTGTTGATTACCAAGCATATTGATTTTTCATTCATTTAAACTTGTCTGCAGAGAAGTCTTAAATGGAATATTACTTAAGGGGGAAATACAGTTTATCTGTAGTGTATACTTGAGTTATGTTAGTCTTCATGACACCCTCCCATTTAAGCTGTTTTTAAAGTTTTGAGATTGTTGTCAGCAGTCTGTGACATATTGGTTGGTCCTATAGCATACTTGTCAAGGAAGCCAGATCCCAGGGCCAGAAGGTGGCACAATGGTCAAGGCGCTGGACGCCAACATGACTGACTGTAGATTAGTCCTGGACTTAGCAGCTTGAAAATGATGGTAGGTGCGTGCGTGCCCAAAGCCCCAGGAGGAGAATGGAGGAGAAGGGATTGTGGTGTGACCATACTCCCTGGGGGTGATTTCCTCACTTTCTCTCTCACTGTCTCTCTTTGGCAATTGTATGTGCTCTGTGGCAAAAACCTAAAAAAAAAGAGAAAAAAAAAAAACAAAAACAGGGTGGGGGTGAGCCAGATCCCACATGGCTTACTACAGTTTGAATCCTGGTCCCAGCAGTCTGAAAGACATACTGGTTGCATGAATGCATGTGCCCTAAATCCTGACCAGACAAAGAAATGGAGAAGAGATTGCAATGTGACAGTGCCCTGCTTAGGGGGGGCAGAGATGCTACTACCCCCACCACCCCCGGACTCCCCACCCCCCCCATCTGGCCAGCACAAAGACGGCTTGGCAATTTAAAAAAAGATAAAATCTGTGACATATATATGAAATATTTCCTCTTGTGTTGTAGGCCAAAATGTCTGGTTGAAATCTTAGCACTAGAAGAGGGAAATTTTTTTTTTATGATAGTTGACACAAAACTCTTCTGACTAATTTATTTGGGTATTATCCAAAATATGAATAATCTTAATGATCAGTAATCACACTTATTTATATTTTTTTATAATTATTTATTTAACTTTATTCATTCATTTAATTTGATCAGAGAGGGACAGAGAAAGAGAGAAAGTGAGAAAGCAAGCCTCCAGGTCCAGGATTTGAACCATGGTTGGCCATGTGGGAGTGTCCAGCGCCTTAACCACCACGCCACCTGCTGGTCCCAGTAATCACACATATTTTATCAACGTCTTTTATAGGAACCATTTAAATACTGTGCATTCGAGACCACAATGCTTTAGTTCAGTGAAGCAGATTTAGTATGTAAGGCTCAGTTTTCTCTTTTAACCAACAAAAACTTTATTCCATTCATTCAGGAAACATTGGCAAAATAAATTTCAGTTGAAATTTCACATGTATCAAAAATACAGGTGATACTTATACAGTAACTTATAGATACAAATGAATGAGAAACTGCAGTTTCACAGAAGATTGCAAACATTTTGTACAGTGGTCAGTTCTTTCTTTTAAGCAAAGTGCTGTTTCGATGACAGATAAATTAACCAATATACACTATTGTGAACTATTTCACACAGTATCAAAAAAGGGTTTTGATTTTTTTCTCCTGTAAGTACAAGTTTATCATTTAAAATCTTTTTTTTTGCAGCATTATAGTTAAATAAACTATTTTAGTATGTAAGGATGATCAGTTTTCAGAACCTCAGAAGTGATAATACTCTTGTTATTCAGTATATTCCTTTTTCTTTGATTTTTGAATGTACTCATCATCATAAATATTCGTTTTTCATGATTCAGTAATAGAAATATACTTTAAGAATAAGACATTACTGATTAGGTGTTGAACCTGTATGATGCTATAGTTACCTTTTAATTAAATCGAAAGCACTTCTTGACCTATGTAATAACATGTTATTTTGAAATATGTGCTTAATATGCCTGCTTTCTAAGCCATTGTGTTGTTTGGATTCTGAATAAATAGTTGGACATAGAAAGGAAAATACTAATAAAGTAATTGCTAACATTCATCCATTGTAAGTGCTGGATTGTTTAACGTAATCACTTAACTCGTGAGACACAAGTACTATTTCCATCCTGCAGATGAGAAAATAAGCACAGCGATGTTAAGTGACTCAAAAAGCACACATAGCTGAGATGTAACAAAGCCTACTTTTGAAACCATGCAGTCTGGTTTGGGAGTTTATACTCTTAAAAATTATTTTACTTTAAAATTCTTATTAGTCTACTTTTGTGGACATAGGATCCATGTATACCCAAGTGTTTAAAGTACAGTGGAAAATTTGAAGAAGAACACAGTCAGACTGAGGTGAGGTTAACAGCACCTTGAGTGTGTCCTGTTTTCCTGGGGCGTGGAGGTGAGGCTTTTAATGGGCCCTCCTGCTTACCACAGCTAGCCTCCTTTGCCCGAGGTAAGGGTAGCTTCCGGCCCAGTGACGGTGCCTCATGATAAAGATGCCATCTAACTCTGTGAGGCTGTTTATTTTAACCACATTTGCTTTAACTGTTTGGATTTTCCAGTAGAATTTGATCTCTAGAAGTTGGCAGCTCTCTAGGAACTAGGGAATTCTGTGTTAGAAGATCTTAGCAGGCGTGGTCAGTGCTGGATCGTGCAGTCTTTAGGTGAAGGAGTGGATGAACTGGGTGCACACCATGTGCTTACAAACCTATTTCCATTCCATTTTGCTTGCCGTATGCAGTTTTTATGATTTTTTCAAGAGATTTTTGCTATAAGGCTCATGTACTCACTGGAGAGACAGAGAAAGACAGAGACATAGAAAGCAAGAAGTCACCCCTCAGGGGGATGGTCACATAGCTATCCCTTCTCCTCCATACTCCTCTCAGGATTTTGGGTGTGCACACACACATGCATGCACACGCTGGCATGAGTTTCAAGCCTCTGGGTCTGGGACTCAAACTGCAGTCAGCCATGTGGGAGTCTAGTGATGCAATCATTACGCCATCTACTGGTCCCTGTATGTTGTTGTTATGACGATAATCAATCTTTGATTATCTTTGTGCGCTAGAGAAATAACATTTTTGAGAAATTTAAGATAATTTTCATTTTGTTTAGATTGATTCTAAACCGATGCATTTCCATGTCAGTTGTTCAAGCCTATTCTGTTGCTAGTAACAGAAAATACTTAATCTTGGTAATTTATAAAAATAAAGATTTATTCAGCTTACAGCTTGGAGGTCCAAGGTAAAGGGGCTGCAACATGGTGGAGGAAGGAGCACATGCTTCTGTGTCCCTTTGCTTGTTGTGTGTGTATCTGTCTCATTCCCTCTCCTTACATACCCACCAGGACTTAATCATGAAACTCTACTCTGATGCTTAGTCACTTCCCAGAGCCCTGCTATTCAACACTGTATTCAGGTTAAGTCTCCTCATACCTTCAGAATATAAACAAATTGAAGTACATGAATTTTGGGGGGAGACATTCAAACCATGGCATGAGTGGAACTGATGATTCAGGTGTTGAAATAAAAGATCTCAAGCCTTTTCGGTGAAAAAGAAAGGGAAGATTATCCTGTTTGCATATTGGATTCTCATGTGTTATATTAAGCAGCCACTGGAGTTGAGAGTTGAGCTATGACTCTGTGGGAGTGGTCCAGTGATTAGATTTACAAAACTTGAGTTTGATAATATCCCAAGTTGGGGTTAGAAGTCTGAGAAAAGTTTAAAAATAAGTAAAAGCTGTAGCGAAATTATCGGGACAGGAATTCAGTGATGTCAGTGATGTTGAAACTAATTGGCACAGATAGATAGTGCCTTTCCTTGCCTGACCTTACCTTTGTGTATAATTAAAAGCTGACTATAGTATTTGATTGCAAAAACACAGCATATTTTAAGTATTTAGCTTAATAAATGACTAAATGATTGAATGCTCTTATAGGGGGAGTTCTTTTTCATTTTGATTTGATTAACATTTAATTTTTATCATCTCTTAGTACTATAATTTCCAAAGCAATATTCAAGTTAAAGTAAATTTTCATTTCGTTTTTGTAAGGTATGTAAATGGCCATGCAAAAAAACATTATGAAGATGCACAAATACCCTTAACCAACCATAAGAAATCAGAAAAGCAGGAGAAAGCTCAGCACACAGTGTGTATGGATTGCAGTAGCTACAGTACGTACTGGTAAGTTAATGCAGGTGTGCAGTGTGCTCTCTCCTTCCCCTTCCCCTCCTTCCTTTTATCTCTGCCAGTAGCTGGTGTCATTATCTGACTTTAGTCCCTGGAGGTGAGATTCACAGGGGGACCTGTGCCTTCTGGAAATCGTCAGCCCTCACTTTGCACTGTTCCTTTCCATTCCAGGCCTCCTCTTCTCTCAGATCCCGTTCTTTGTTCATCCCAGTTGGCTTCAGGGAAATTACAAGTCTCTCTTTCTTAGTTGTTCATTATCATTTCTTTTCCTAATGTTTTCAGTTGAAGAATAATATAAAACTCCATGATCAAGAAGGAAAAAATGAAAAACACAAACTCCTGTCTAGTTTAAATTTTGTTTTGTAATCTTACAAATTTTCTTTCCTTAAAAATTGTTTTGACAGCTTCCCTTCTCCCAGCGTAGTTTTGTCCTCTTCTGCTCCCTCAAAGGTAATGTCAAGAATTTGATAGAGGGGGACTGGCAGGTGGCATGGTGGTTAAGGGTGCTGGACTCCCACATGGCCGACTGCAGTTCAAGTTCTGGACCTAGCGGCTTGCTTTCTCACTTTCTCTCTCTCTCTCTCTCTCTCTCTTGCTCTGTCTCTCTCTGGTCAAAATTAAAATAAATAAATAGATATAAAATAATTCTTTTTAAAAAAGAATTTGATAGGTAGCCTTTCAGGTGATTTTTTAGAAGAATTTCTCATAAAAAGAGGTTGGATGGCCTGTTGTCTCTCTCTCTCTCTTTATTTTTTTAAGAGTGATTTATTTAATTTTATTTATCATTATTCTCATTATTTTAAAATTTACTGTAGAGCATGTATGCTCACCAGAGGGAGACAGAGATACAGAAAAAAAGACACCTAGTCCAGGGCTTGAACAATGGTTGGCCATGTGGGAATTCAGCACCCCAACCACCATGCCACCTGCTGGCACCCCCGGTTCTCTTTATAATGAAATATATTTGTCTGTTTTATATAAATGACAATAAGGTAGGTGTCTACGCTTATGAATGCTTAGATGACTTAGGTGACAAGGGGTGTTTTAACAGTTCATGTTTATTTGATATGCTCAGAATGTCAGTATAGTTTGCAGTTTAAACTTTGATGTGAAGCAGATTTCTTTCTTCACTAGTATATTATGATATATGATCATAATTGTTTTAATCAGTTTACCCTTAGTTTGAAAGATTGCAAACATTGAAGGGAAGAAAAAAATCAAGTTATTTATTAGGTTTTGCTGTTGAAGAGGATGGCCATGCCACAATTCCTCCTCCATTCTCTTCTTGGGATCTTGGGCATGTACACACACGCAGCATGATTTTCAAGCCACCAGGTCAGGGACTGAAACTGTGGTCAACCATGTGGGAATCCAGCCATCCTAATCACCACACCACCTGCTAGGCCTGAAACAGGCCGTTTAAAGGATTCCTTTGGAGGTTTTTTGGTCTTTGTTTGATAGGTTGGTTTGTTTGTTTTTTTTGCCACGTAAATATGACATGAAGGCAGTACTGGGCAGAGATGGAGATTTTTAAGTCCAAATGCCACTTCTGATTCCCACTTTGTACTGAAGTCTTGTGCTGATTCTTTCTGGATGGTTCATAGTTGACAGTATTACTGTAAAAAGGTGCTCATCAAAAGGAAGAAAAAGGCTGGGTCCATCGCCAAGTGGTTAAAGTGAGCCAGATCCCAGCAAGCTAACCACGCAATTTAAATTGTGACCCTAGTGACTTGGAAGACATGCCAGGTGCATGTGCGTGTGTACCTCAAATCCTGATAGGGTACAGAAATGGAGGAGGGGATTGCGAGGTCACTGTGCCCTATCAAGGGGTGCTTTCTCTCTCTGTCTCTCCTCTGTCTTTATAGAGTGTGCACATTTTAGCATTTAAAACATGCTCTCACGTGCGTACACACACACACACACACCAGAAAAGGGAAGGAAAATTTCCAGGTCTTTTAAATTTTTACAGGCTTAACATTATTAAATTTTGCCTGGTGAATAAACTTCTTCAAGGTTAGTCATTGAGATCACTACTATTTTTTAAAAAGAATTATTTATTTAATTTTATCTATTCATTCATTCATTATTCTGGCTAGAGAAAGACAGACACCAGGGAGAAGGAAAGTGAGAAAGCAAGTCTCTAGGTCTGGGACTCGAATTGTGGTCATCTATATGGGAGTGCCCAGTGCCTCAACCACCATGCCATTTGCTGATCCAGAACTACTATTTTTTTTTTAAATAAGAATTACTTTAACTTTTTATTTATTTATTTATTCATTTGTTTTATTTATTTAAATTTGACAAGAAAGGGAGAGAGAGAGAGTGAGCGAGCGAGCTTTCAGGTCCAGGACTCAAACTGCGGTAGGCCATGTGGGAGTCCACCGCCCTTAACCACCATGCTACCTGCCAGTCTGATTACTACTATTTTAATAATCCTTTGTGGGGAAAGTGTCCAGTCCTGGAAGACACAGAAGCCCGAGGTAGATGAAGATTTTAATAAAATCGAAAACCTTTCCATGATTTTCACGTGAGGGCTGGTACTCAGTTTATTATTATTGGGAGATGCTCCTTCCTACCAAAGTGAGGCATGAGCCAGGCTGTTGAAGTGTTTTTGTTATCTTTTTCCCTTTTCTTCAAGAAGTTTATATATAGAATGGCATAGCTACTTAATTTACAGAATCATGTGTTCTGTTTATTTGTATTTCTGTTTTAAATAGCAGAAATTGAAGTTCTTATTATTTCTTCAGAGAGACACACAGACACAGGCACCTGCCCCCCATAGGGTCCCTTCCCAGCCTCAGCCAGCCCAGGTTACAGAGGACCTTCGCGTGTAGGTCCAGTTGAACCAAAGCCATGCCACCATCTGGCCCCTTAAAATCATTCTTGCAGTTTCTGTCTCACAATCATTGTTGAAGGTTGTGTCGGGCTGTTCATACCGGGTGTTAGAGCATTCATTCTTCTTGATTTTTCATTAGCAAAGTGCATGAATGGAAAATGGAAAATTTTGGAAATACAATTAAATGCATGTGTGCTATAAGTTTGTAGTTAGTTTACTATCCGTAAGATTCTAAGGTAACAGTAACTCTTCAAGGAAGTTTCCAGAGTCATTTTAATGGAGTGGGATTATATTCATAGGGGCTTTTAAAATACAGATTCTACTATCTTTACATATCGCATTTTTGGGGAATACGTTTATTCATTAGAAATCAGAATTTGTTCTATATTGGTCTAGTCTGTTAATGTACATGTCGTTTCATGGCTGAATTGGAATTAAATGGAAAATCTTGAACCTTGGGGAGTATACGCCATGGCGGAGGTTTCTTGGATCATTGCCAGTCTTTTGTGTGAAGTTACACAGAGCTGCAAGTGTGTGGGCATCCAGAAGCTCTGAAATGCAGGAAGGGAGCTGCAGCTGGTCACATTATCCTCTCATTTGTGGGTTTTAGAACAGAATGCCAGGGAATTACCCTGTAGCTCTGCACTGATGTACTAAAAGGAATCTGTGATAGTCAAACTGATGAAGCTGTAGTTTAAATTAACATTTTCCCCACTCCTCATTGTGATTAAGAAACAAACAAAAAGAGATTTCCTCTTTCTATATGGAGCGTGTATGCGAATGTGTGTTATTTTCCAGTGCTCATAAGTAATTTCCCTTCATTTATGAATTTTACTTGAATATTCTTTCTGTAGTTAGACTGAGGGTTGGCTTTAGAAGTAAAATATTGATGTACTAGGCTTAATGTATTATTAAATATTTTTAGCGTAGCTAATTCTAAATCCCTTTTGCAGTATGCTCTGCTCTAGAAAACTTGTAACATAGTCTGAGGCTTACAGCATTTTCTTAAAGAATTATTTTATTTAACTTTATTTTTTTTTTTAATTTCAGTTTGACCAGAGAGAAATGGGGGGGGAGAGGGGAGAAAGAGAAAGAAAGTGAGAAAGCAAGCCACCAGGTCTGGGACTCAAACTGCCATCGGCCCTGTGGGAATCCAGTACCTTTAACCACCACACCGCCTGCTGGCCCAGGCTTACATTTTTTAAATTTCAGTTTGACCAGAGAGAAACAGGGGGGGAGAGAGGGGAGAAAGAGAAAGAAAGTGAGAAAGCAAGCCACCAGGTCTGGGACTCAAACTGCCATCGGCCCTGTGGGAATCCAGTACCTTTAACCACCACACCGCCTGCTGGCCCAGGCTTACAGCATTTTTAAAAGTTTATTTCTTCATTTCTTCCATGAATGAGAGAGAAAGAGACAGGCAGCCCCAGCAGGGTCCTTGCACTGCGATCTGTCCCCAGCCTCAGTCACCCAGGATCATGAGCACACGTGTGCCTGGCATGCACAGGAAGACCTTGGAATGCTAACCTGGGACCTTCCCGTGTTGCCTCAGCATCGTGGAACATTGAGTTATTGACCCTTAGAGAGTGTTTCTGTCTTTGTTTTCTCTTTATCAAGAGTCCCTGCCTTATCCTATCTTTCCATATCCTTTATGAGGTTATCACTGAACTCTTCCCCTCTCCCCGTAGCTACAATTGTAGCTGGATATAATCTCTCCTGACTTTACAGCTCTTATGATACTTGTAATTTCCTGCTGTGCACTAGTTATTTGTACATGTCTTTGGGGGTTGCAGAAACTATCTCAGTTCTTTGTATTTTCCCCAGTACTCAGGGTCTGGTGCAGCATAGGCAATCTATGTTGAGAAGATTGAATTTTGTTAATTGTCTTCCCATAATGGGGAGAGTTACACCAAACCTGTAATACATCTTAGAGGGCTAAAGAGCCACACAACATTTTTCCTGCAGAAGACTTAACACCCTCACATAGGTGGGCTGCTTCACGGCTCTCCCGAGACAGACATTCTGGCAGAGCAGCTCCTTCAGTTCCAGTGTGAACAGGGTGTCCAGAGCGCAAGCACGGCATAAAAGAGGTCACTGTTTCAGAAGAGGGAGAGCAATACCCCGAGGAATAATTTCGGTTTGACACAAACCCGCTCCTTGA